TGAACTTTGAATCTAATTAGAACATGTTTTGCGATGACGTGTACACGCTTAGACGTTAACGACGGTATTTATACTCACCGCTTCGCCAAACATTCAAACGAGAAAAAACAGTAAAACTTGAATATCTTCTAAACTTTTCGTCATTTTTTGGAAGGCTATATGTGTAAAATACTCTTTGTATTCAGGCGCTTTCGTGTAGAAAGTTTCGTATGAATACGGCGAGTAGAAATATTTATTTTGAATTTTTCAAGGTATCGGCACAGAATAGATAATAGGACCAGAAGTCTTACTCAAGCGGAAACATGTCCCATCTTTTATACTGCGCATGCGCGAGCTAAACAAGTGTAATGCAGTGTTGACAATAGAAAATTATATTGGGAAGTTGTCATTTCTACAGTAAAAACAGCTTTTTTTCAAGTAGTACGAAATGTGACTTCGATTTACCTGTGGAACTATTTGAACAGAAGGTAAAGCAGTAATTTTGTTGTATTTAGAAAGCAAACAGGGTCATATTTTTAAAAATATAGCGCACTGAATATAAATTCGAGCATCATTAAAATGTGTTCGCTATGATGCCATTTTGTCTCCGGTATATACGGAGTTCTGCTTTTATACTTGTGGATATTCGAATTTATTTGGCTCAAAAACACCATTACTTCAATATCCCTTTCTTGTTTTTCCTTGGATAGGTTTTAACAAGATAGAACTTGAGATTACTTGGGTCCAAAGACGCTAGATTATAAAATCTTGATGTGACTTGATACTACTAACCGTGATACTACAAATAGAATATGTCTTATATTTAATACTACAAATAGAATGTCTTTTAAGTACAAACTTCAATGAATTGATAAAGTGTAAGGATAGTGTTTAAAGTCGCTTCATGTGTAGAAGCTGAATTACTTTAGTTTATACACTGTATATTGTCAAGATCACATGTTGATATAACTTACTAGCAACTTACTACAGACTTACTACTTGTTTATAATACTTTAGAGTTTGGACATTAGAACATTGCAATTGCCTGACAGAGACTGTTAGGGCCTGTTTGTATGGAAGCCGGGCTGGCCCGCTTAGCAAGACAGCCCGGTAAGGTAGGTAAGCAGGATGATTTCTCTTGTGTTTATTTGAGAAAATTTCATTCCGCTTACCTTCTTACCGGGACAATTTTGTTGTTTTGACATTATTTTGACAGTTGTTAAAAATAGCTTGCGGCAGTATCTTTGAACTTTCATCCCGGCAACCGGGCTAGCCTGCTTATGATTGTTTATGTGGAGAAATTTCCATCCTGGTCTTGGCAACCGGGCCTGCCTGTTTGTCCATAGAAATGATAATTTGTACTATAAAAATAACTAGACAGTGAGATCTCACTTACCGGGCTGTCTCACTTAGTGGGCCAGCCAGTTTCGATATAAACAGGCCCTTAGACAACTGCTAAAAGCTGCAAGTTTTAAAGCAATATCATCTATATCACAGAATACTAGTGACATACTTTGTGTTTTTTCTGTTATTTTTGTACAATACCTTTTTGAAATTGTTGATACTGGTCTCATTGTAACTCAGTTATTCCTTCTCAAGAAAAATAAAAAAAAACAAAGCTGTGTGGGTGTGTTTTTGCTCCAGCTAGTTTTTACATTTACATGGTTCATGTACAATTAATGTACATTTAAATTAGCTTTGTTCAATGAATACAGGTGCGATTCAAATATCATTCCTGGCAGGTACTTGGGTCAAATAGACATAAGCATACTAAATCATGCTGTGAATTGAAATACAAGTATAGGATGTATATTGTTTAATAAATATATTTTCCAGTTAACCCAGTAAGCTGCATTGTGCCCCAATGCACCCTACTTTACTAGTTTATTTCACTTCATCTAATGCCAGATGATTTTACTTATCGAGGGAGAGTGCTGCTGCTCATTGAGCTCTGATTGAGTTCACTGAGTGGCAGCACTTTTCCCCTTGACGAGTGAAATTGTCTGGCGTTAGACGGAGTAAAATAATCTTGCATTCAATCAAGCAGCTACTTTTTCAAAAGCTCAACCAGGCTAAAGATTCTTTAATTTGAAAACCAAAGTGATAGTGAACTAGTTAGTTGAAACAAACAGAATTGTTTGATTTATTTACTTTCCACAACATTGACAATTAAAATTTAATTTGATACTTTTCCAGTATATTGACATTATATAGGTTCAGATTTGACTACCATTACCATTACTGTCGTTCCAATTGAAGTGTTCCTCAAATATTGATTCAATACATTACCTCGGGCTGACCAATTCATTTCATCAAGTTCCTCGAAATATTCATACACTTCCTAGTATAATTGTAAACTTCCTGTTGAATAGTTTGAATGCACCAATCACCTTTGTTGTTTGTGCAACTAACCAATCATAAATAGAAAGGAACAGGGGGGCTAGGGGGGCTAAAGCCCCCCAGGAAATTTGAATTTTTGGAAAAAATTTTGATAATTAGGGAAAAATTTAGGTTATTTTTTGAAAATTTAGGTATAAGGGGACAAATTTGCAATATTTTGTTTAAAAAAAGTTATTTCCGAAAAAAATTTTTGACATTGGAGTTGGCTCATTCACAGAAAGTGTATGAATATCTCGAGGAACTTGATGAAATGAATTGGTCAGCCCGAGGTAATGTTTTGAATCAATATTTGAGGAACACTTCAATTGGAACGACAGTAAGGGACCATCAACCAATCAAATGCATTTGATATATTCGATCAACCATTATAATGAAAGTGTGAGTTTATTCATAAACTAATTATAAATCAACTTCCATGCAATGCTTTATGCAATCATCTAGTTATGCACCAGTCAATGTAAATCCCTGCCCCCAACCGGGGAGGGTGGAAGGTTTATCGGGGAAAGTGGTCAGTTTTCATTATAAATTTGTCCCCGATGATGGGAGACTTGGACAGTGGTTAACATATATATCCTGTGTTGCTGTTTTAGTTTTCTTGACAAGAAAAGTTTAAATACAATAACATAAATGAATTTGATTTTCTATTGCTGATCTATGATTATACAAAACTATTTTCCTGGGGTTGAGAGACATGCAGGGTACATTGATGTCCCTGGGGGCGGGGCCAATTTCGCTCTTTTACTACCCCTCCAAGTCAAAATCCCTGCCCTTCCCCAGTTCGGGGGTTTACGTTGACTAGTGCATTAATTAAAGAAGTGTCAGTGCCACATATGTAGTAAAAGCCAACTTGTCAGTAAAGGCCACAGAGCAAGATTGTATTTCAAAGACTGTCAGTGACAAAAACAATTGATAGTCCTGAAATAGAGTATGCCAACAGTTAGTATACTGCAAGTAACTATTCTATCAACAAGATAAAAATAATGTGTGTGTTTTACAAGTGTTTTTTATATATCAATCCAATGGCATGTAACCTAAAATTCAGCAGTGTCTGTGTAATGAAATACACCCTTACTTCTCAAATA